AAACCCTTATTCCTTTCATTACCCTAACCAAACATACTTTTGTTCATCATTAATGGTGTATTCCTTTCACACCCTTGTTACAGCCTCCCAAAACATACACATAAAGCCTTTTCTTACATCTTTAAGAGGGTGTTTGGGATTGCTTATAAAAAAAGCTTATTAGCTTATTTGCTTATCCAATAAGCAAATAAGCTGAAAATATGTTTGGGTAAATAAAAAGTGTTTTTAAAAAGGGCTTTTAATAAAGAAGAATTGATTTTTTAGCTTTTACCACTTTAAAAAGTTAATCAAAACATATTTTTAAAACTGTTTTCAAATAAAAAGTCATAAGTTAATAAGCATTTTTCTAAAAAAAAACACTTTTAAGTATAAAAAGCACTCCCAAACACCTTCTAAATATCCCAACATGATAATATATTGATTTCGATAGTAATATTTATAAGATAAATAATGTATATATTTAAACCCTAGAAAAAGCCAAACTTGGTAGCTCCAAGCCTTTTCTTGAAAGGAGAGAATTTGTGGGGAAAATAAAGTCTGGTTTCACATGCTTCCCCTCTTCTTCCCATCATTCATCCAACTCAAAAAGATACAACTTAATCAAATCACTTTATGAATTGTTTAATCAATATTAACTAGGACTAATTGCATACAAATAAGAGCCCTAAAAGATTTCAAAAAGCCCTAGTTTAATCTATTTTGTACTTTAATTAACCATCATTATCAACGTGGAAAAGTGATTGGGAGTTCACATTCGTTGCTAGTTCTTCAAGGTATGATGAATAATTAATTAAGATATATAGTGCAAGCTCATTGATTCTAATCTAAGTCTTCCATGAAACTACCGAAAAGGACACTTTGTGGAGTTATTAATTACTACTTTAGTTTCTCTTAATTATCGTGTGTTGTAGATAGCGGCTGTAGCCAAAATCGTAAGTCTAGAAAAAGTTAAGCTATTGTGCATGAAATTTAAATAAAGATACACTTTTTAAATACCACTAACTTGTTAAGATGAAAAATAATGATTAACCTGGATTAATATCTACCTAGAAAACAATGTGTAAATAATCATCGAGCTTGTTTATTAATTCGAAAGTTGCATGTTGGAATAATAAATAATCACTATTTTATTATATAAATTGATAAAGACATATACCATGGTCCATGTATACGAAAATAAATCATTAGTCTATGTTAAATATGGTGAGTGTTAAGGGGCTCGAGGGTCAGCGTGAAGAGGGCTATCGGGGGTCCAGCCTGGTAACGCCTAGTCCATGTGAACACACTGTCGGCATCCAGTCAGCAGCTCCCCTTATTGCCATGTAGGAAATTAGATACTGCCACGTAGATGCGCCGGGCCCACTTACATACCAGAATGGCACGTCGCTTTCGGCTTTCTTTCATTCTACTTGCTCCCCTGGTTATTTCCCTTTCAAGTGTCAGTGTTATTTTATATCTCCTATCTATCCATAGCTCCATACAACAACAAAATTTAATATTCATATAATACAAACACAATTTAATATTGATCGGTATGTTTATGACAGATGTATCAACCCACAAAGATAACCATTTTATAGTAGATTAAAACCACTGCTGAATTTGAGAACGAGAATACAATTGGTGTCCGTTGATAGTATTCGAAAATAAAGCCGGAAAATATCATATTATCGCTTAATAAATAGAAGAAATTAAACTGGTAATGATTTAATATGTTCTTACATTCGATGTTGACACAGGCCAACTAGAGGCCCTTCATTGATTTCTGTGAATTCATTGTATTGCATTAAATTCCAATTTAGATGAAGATCATAACAGTAGACGATATTTACAAAATCATATGTATATAAGGTTGTAAGGTGTGGGCAACACCCGTTTGCGTTTTTCTAACATTGCATTGGAAAACGCCATGAAAAAGGGCAAAAGGGGGGGGTGGGGGGGTGTCTATGAAAACGTCGTTTTGAGAGAGGAAGAATAGAGTAAAACAGTCATTTTCTTTCGTTACCACAGCAACTCATCATAATGGGTTTATGATGATCATAAAAACCCTTTTAATTAGTGAAATTTTAGTTGCGTTCTTCAGCACAAATCAAGTCCGAATACAGTTTCTTGTTCATGGTTCGTGTGTTAATCTTTTGGATTTGGTTTTGAAAAACAATTTCATGGTCTTGGTTATTGTGTTCTTCAATCTTCAACCTTCACTTCAGATCTAAATTTATATTTCAAGAACAAACTCAAATTTGATCTTCATTGTGTTCATCAAAACGCAGGATCACAATCCTCCAGCATAATATTCTTTACCTCCATCCCCATTTATGAATATTATGCATAGATGAGGTATTGTGCATCTTCCGATGAAGAAAAACCTCCGACACGGCTTGAATCGGAAGAGCCGGGGGTTAGCTTGTTCTTAAACAGAGGGGGAATCATTTTATGTTGTCTTGTGTGTGATTTTTGATTAGGGTCTAACCTTATCCATATTCATTTCTGACATGGAACCAATAATATACCCACCTCCAAATTCGTTTATGTGTGCGTAGTGTGTGGTGTGTTCTTGAATCACTGAACAATGTTCATCATAATGAGAAAGTGAGTTAGGAATTCACGATGAGATAGAGAGAGAGGAGGTGGTTCCAAGAACATGCTGGTGATTTTGTATCATCAATGTGTATTTAAGTGTAATAGATTGACTTGTTGATCAAAATCAATCTTGATTAATATTAAACAAGTAAGGAATATGTGGAGTGCACATTTGTTTAATTTTATTCAAGATTCAAAGTATACTGTCATTTAAGGGCAAAACCCTTAAACGAATGGGGGTCCAAAGGCAGGGCCTCTAGGAGCGGGGTCCAAGGGGCAGAGACCCTGACTAGGGTCAAACTATTTTTGTGATAGTTTTCAAACATTAAACTGTTTTTGTGATAGTTTTCAGACATACAACTGTCTTGTGACAGTTTTCTAATAGAAAAAGTATTTAACTAATTTTGGTATTCATTTGATGGTACAAACGAAATTTATAACAACCGGATTTTATGTTCTTACTTTCAATTTCTGAGTTTTATCCGATTAAAGATTGGGAGTGTCACCTAAATACTTTAATATATGAATTTACAAGCCTTTCTATAACCTGAATTTCTAACAGAACATGCATAACCCCGACTTCATTTATGTGTGTGGTGTTTTCTTGAATCACTAAATAATGTTCATCAGCTTGAACCATATAGTGTGTGATTTGCACGTATGATGAGGTTGGTGAAGTTAATTTGTTGCAGCAATTTAATCCTTATACGGATGAATACATGGCAAGAGTTCTTGAAATTCAATATCTTGAAACATGCCAATATCTTCGACAAGTCCTAAACAAGCAATTATACCAAAACGACGCTGACGATGACATTTAGTAATTTTATAATTGAACTATGTCTTTTATTTAGCTTTTATTTTTATTTATGCAATTTTCGGATCATTTGAATTTTAATTTCAAGTTTATGTGTTATATTATTAAAATTAAATGTTTTATTAAAACTTTTAAAAGTAAAACATTTTAATAATGTGGAATGGTGTATATATCAAAATAGTCTGGTGGCACTGACATGATAGTATTTTTCATGTAACAATGTGATGAAGATACCCAATAACCTAAATATTATATGAAATATCAAACATATTTCTATCTTTTGTTCATGCTCATTTTTCTATTATGTAGTTTAAAATAATTTTTGAAATAAAAAAAGGTAAATAAGAGATTTCACATGTGGTTTTATTTAAATAGGAAGATAGATATAATCAGAAAATTTTATTTAATTTTCATATTATATTGCGTTGGTGGTTTAAATTTTGAAAAATTAAATATTTTATTCTTATTTATAATCATATTCAAATAAAACAATAACACGTTAATTCAACTAATTCTTTCATTTAGTATTTTTTTTTTTTCCTTCATTTTAAAACTAGTTGTGACCTTCATGTATTATATAAGTTTATTTAAAAGAAAATTAAATATAAATGTCTAAATGTTTAAAAATTTTAAATTTATAAGAAAATGAGAAATATATTGAATGATTAAAATTGAAGTGTTTTTTTTCTTTTAAATATAAACAATAATTTAGATAAATAAACAAAGAAAATTAATATGACTTCGATTTACAAATTTCAAAATTAGAAGGTAATCCATTAATGAAATTGATATTTGTTTATTATTATATTTATTGCAAATTATTATATTTATATATTATATGAAATTTAATAAAAGAGAAAAACCAAAAATAACATGTGGATAAAAAATAATTTAAAATAACTACAAAATAACATATGATAAAAGTCTTGAAAAAAGATACTATCAAGATGATTTTTATTGGTTAGGATAGATTTACTTAAGCCAAATGAGTATGAAGATTAATAGAAACATTCGATTTAATATAAAAAAGCTTTATAAGTTATCATTTACTACCCAGCAATATTTCTTTTGTTATTCCAACAATGTTGGGCACTAAAACTCACATAAAAGTAACTATCTTGACTCTTTCGGTCATTAATCATTTAATTGGTTGATTCATATTATATTTTATTTTTAACAGGTTAAATAAGTGACATTTATAAAACACAAAATTATAAAATCATATTGTCATATTTATAAAACACAAATAAATAAATAAAGAGTCTCACATTAGTCGAACCCAACTAGACCAACACCAAAAATACCTTATTTTACCCGCCCACTTATCAACACTCTTTCACATAAAACTTGTACACACATACACTCACATAGCCACATTGGAAGCATTAAAATAAACAATTAATTAAATCCCATAAGATCCAATTAAATCTAATACCACTATGATATATCGATCATATGATTGCAAACATAATTTAATATAAACTTTGATTATAATTATTATTGTGATAAATCTCAATATAAAATTTGGCTTATGATTTGAAAATGACCTTTCAAAGTGCATTAATTGACATCCTACCCATACCTCATCTTTCATCCCCCACCCCTTATATAAACATCTTCCCCTTCACCTCCTATTTCATTCCAACAACAATCCTCTCATCTCATCTTCACTTCCAACTTCCAAACATACAAAAACCACTCCTCTTGTGATAACTCCTAATAAAACTTCAAAATCTTACCTTGTATCCCAAAAAAAAAAACATTCAAGAAAATGTTTAGCTTTTCGGGTCAAAACGACTTCTGTGGTCGTCGATGTGTGTGGGTGAACGGCCCTGTTATAGTAGGGGCCGGACCCTCAGGGCTAGCCGTATCAGCTTGTCTCAGGGAACAAGGCATTCCCTTTGTGGTCATTGAAAGATCCGATTGCATTGCCTCTTTATGGCAAAAACGTACCTATGATCGCCTAAAACTACACCTCCCGAAAAAATTCTGCCAGCTTCCGAAACTACCCTTTCCTGAGGAATACCCTGAGTACCCAACCAAGAGACAATTCATCACCTATCTTGAGAACTATGTTGAGAAATTTGACATCAAACCGCAATTCAATGAGTGTGTGCAGTCTGCTAAGTATGATGAAGCCTGCCATCTCTGGCGGGTCGTGACCATTTCGACAAACGGGTCGAACCGCTCCGAGACTGAGTATATCTGCCAGATGCTTGTGGTGGCTTCCGGAGAAAATGCAGAAGGGGTAGTGCCGGAGATTGATGGACTACAAGATTTCTCCGGTGAAGTCATTCATGCAAAAGATTACAAGTCCGGCGAGAAATATGAGGGAAAGAAAGTATTGGTCGTCGGGTGTGGAAATTCCGGCATGGAGGTTTCTCTAGACCTTTCAAATCACAATGCTAAGCCATCCATGGTGGTTCGAAGCTCGGTAAGTCGTCTTGAAAAATCTTTAAAACCCATAAAAAAGATGGAATATGTTTTCAAGAAAATCAATAATAATTAAAATTAACCATCTAATTCTTCTAATTTCTTTACAGGTTCATGTTTTGCCTCGAGAAATGATGGGAAAATCGACATTCGATATAGCCATGATGCTGATGAAATGGCTACCTCTATGGCTGGTTGATAAGCTTCTGCTAATCTTGGCATGGTTTATTCTCGGAAACATAGAAAATTACGGCATAAAGAGACCATCTTTAGGTCCATTAGAACTGAAAAACCACCATGGAAAAACCCCAGTTCTCGACATCGGTGCACTTGAGAAAATCCGAGCAGGCGAGATCACCGTCGTTCCTGGAGTCAAAAGATTTAACTGCACCTCCGTTGAGCTCGTTAATGGCGACACCCTTGATATCGATTCAGTTGTTTTAGCAACTGGGTATTGTAGCAATGTTCCCTACTGGCTTCAGGTGAGCAAATGCTTCCATTTCTGCTCTGTTGTTTCGCAAAAAGATTGGATCTTTCGGTTTGACTAATCGAATTTTGACTTTTTTTATGAGCAGGAAACCGAGTTCTTTGCTAAAAATGGCTTCCCAAAGACACCATTTCCAAACGGGTGGAAGGGAAAGTGTGGATTATATGCAGCAGGATTCACAAGAAGAGGGCTTGCTGGTGCATCTGCTGACGCAAAGAAAATTTCTCAAGATATTGGGAAAGTATGGAAGGAGGAACTAAATCAGAAAAAACTGAAAGTTCCTACGCATAGAAGATGCATCTCAACCTTCTAATTTTATCTAACAAAAATGTTTAGAAAAACTAATATTTAACTGTGGGGTGTAAAAAATATATGTATATGTAAAAACAAGAAGGAAAGAGATAGAATAGAAGAGCAGCAGCCCTCGCCATAAAGCCCCCCCAAAAAAAAGAATTAAAAAAAAACAGGTAGAAAATTTTACGGGCATTTTGTATACTTAGGATGATGAGGCTAATTTTGTAATTTACTTCTTTTTTAATATATAAGGAAATGTTGATAATTAAAATTCTTCTTTAGTACTTTATACTTTTTTCCACATGTTGATGAGGTTCTGTCACTAATACTTGCAACTTTTGTAACACTTGTCATGAGGCTCAAGAACGAGGGTTCCCCTGTATACACGAATGAATTCGTGTATTGCATAAAAATCCCCTGTTTATTTAAAACCCTATAACTTATAACAATAATCAGTATTATCCTTTTAAGTTTTAAATCTTTTCACTTTAAAATTTTGTTTTTTTTATTATATATTAAAAAACATATGTTTTTGACAAATTTTCATATATATATATATATATATATATATATATATATATATATATATATATATATATTCAAATAAAAACAATTATAAAATCGAGAATGTAAGAAATGATATAATGTTGTTTTCTTATTTTGTTTTTCAAATATATAATAAATTTTAATTTTTAATTCTTTATAGATGAACATTAATATTGATATAATATTTTTTTTTAAAATACAATTTTTTATTATACGTATTAATCGCATGTGATTAAGTTATTCATATGTTTTTTTTATAAATTTTGTATAATATCGGCAATGATGTCAATCCACCAACACTATCATTGACCGCTAACAAGTTTCAAATACGTCATCACTACTGCCACCCTTCTAGATATGTGCATTGTTTTTTTTTTTTTGCTCGTGATTCTTGATCCGAGTTCTGATCTGGTTTCATGTTTTTTAAATCTCATAGCTATAAACATTGTTCTTCCTCTCCAAATATAGATTTGATATCTTCATAGAAGATATGCTTATTGGTTGGTTTCCGTGTTTGGAACATTGAAGATCTACTTATGGATTGGAATTTGTGTGAATATCTGATTATATAGTATTTTCGGTAATTAACAATATATATTACTAATGACAAGCAACTGTTACAATTAATTCGGAATCATTGTTTGATAGTATATGTTATATAATGTCGTACATTTGTCTTACATGTTAAAACAAGAATTCGAAACAACAAAAGGGCAAATATTTGTCAGTAGATAATTTTTGTAAAATAAAAATAATATGTGAACTTCATAACCATCGGTCGTCGTTATATTTGGAATGTCATTATTATCCAAGAAGGTTGACTAAAAATGAATGTTGAAAAAAATAGCGTAAGTTTTTTTAGTTTTGTTGAAAAAAACATATCATTCCAAAAGATATATTATCTACACTTCAAAGCCAAATTCCAATGATATATCTACTCTCAAATTCATCATGTAGTAACTATAAAATTCCAAGAGTTTGTGTTATTTGATAGTTATTAAAAATAAATTTATATGTTTCGGGTTCTTAACTTGAATATTTATATTTGTTCTTTTATTTCATATGGTTTTTGACACTTACATATATCATAATTTATGAAAATAACATATATATTTTTTTTATCCACGTAATGAAAATAGCATATATGTCCGTAAAATCAAACGTGTTTGATATAATATCAATATTATGTTTATTATTCTTTCAATACAATATAAAATATTAAACAAAAAATAACTAATGTTGCACGCAATTGAAAAAAGATATTTACAAAAGTAAAGATAAAAAACGGCTGACAATATATTTTTTGATTTATATATTACAAGATATTAAAAAGGATCAGGGAAACTTAAACAAGAAAAAAAAACAACAAGATTATAAAACAATAAGGGCTAAAGTAAACACTTCTATATATATAAAAAGGTTACAAAAAAGATTATAAATAAAAATAAAGTTAGGGAAAATGATTTATATGGGTAACTATGTTTCAAAATCATTCAAAAAATATCATTCAAGTTTGGTGTGTTCAAAAAACACCATCCAAGTAAAGCATTTGTATAAAAAACACCAACGAATTACATTTTTTGTTCAAATTTGACCTTTGTAACCGGCAATTACCGCTAAAAAATAAGTAAAGGAAAAAAGCAATAAGAAATGACTGAAAGGGGTAATTATGTTTCAAAATCGTTCAAAAAACACCATCTAAGTTTGTATGTTCAAAAAACAACATCCAAGTAAAAAATTTGTACACAAAACACCAAACAAACTATATGTTTTGTTCAAATATTACCTACCGGTAACTGGCTCTTACAGGTCAAATGATGACTTGACTTAACTATTATAACATGACATAATAATTATTGACAAACCAATAAATGATACATTCCTTCTTTAAAAGTCAATTTAGGGTTTCTTAATGAACGAATGACTTCACCTTCTCCTATGATTTCTCTTATTCTTCTAAAGTGATGATCTCGGACTTAAGTCCAAAACCCTAATACTTGACTTAAGGCAAAAATGACTCCTTTACCCCTGCCTCAATGGGCCTCCCTCCCCCTAAGGCTCAAATCCATAAAAAGCCCAAAAAAGCATCCAAGCCCAAATACAAGGCCTCTAAGGCCCAAGAACCCCCAACATGGCCTTAAGCATAAAAAATTACTTGCTACAATCAGGTGGGTCCGAGGCCTAACTTATACAAGTCCATGCATACACCCAACATATGCTGAAGCCTTTGCGATCCGGATTTCAAGCTAGTACTCCCGACGTACTCCTAGTGTACGCCAAGTGTACTCGGCTAGGGTCCATAATCGTCAATCTTCCGAAGGCCATAACTTCTTCATTCTAAGTCCGATTTCGTCATTCTTTATATCCACAACAACTAATTTAGGCATCAACAGCCACACCAAGGGTTATGGCCTTCAGATTGCGATTCTTAGTGTTATCTTAATGCTAAATTATATTTCGTCATTCTGGTGTCCAACCGAGGGTTATGGCCTTTGGAAATGAAATGACAAGCTAATTTTAACCCCAACATAGCTCTCTGATGCCTAAATTAGATTGTGATTCTTAGTGTTACCTTAATGCTATGTATGCTATCTATTTTTTTCCTTACCTTACTCTGCCTCAGATATAATGTCTTCTGGGTATTTATAGGCTGCTCGTTGTTAGAATAGTTTATAGTCTTGACTGGTCCTTCATTTATTATACGATCTATAGATAGGCACGCCTCTTGTCCTTTCCTTGTTATTTTATTGTTTCATACCCGTAACACCGTAAATTTTCAAACCAATTTTTTCACTTTTAATTTCAGAAAACACATGTCATTCTAATTTAACACCATTTAATAGTCAACAAAGTTTTCAAAACATTATCAAAATCCAAGATCCTCATTCATAACTCTTTTATCTTGGGTGTACAATCGAGCCACCGCCTTCCCGCGATCCTGATAAGAACCTGAAACACATAACACATAACACGGTAAGCACGAAGCTTAGTGAGTTCCCCAAAATTAATAACTCAGTCATAACTCTTTACTTGGATGGTGCTTTTTGGATAGACCAAACTTGAATGGTATTTTTTGAACAATTTTGAAACATAGTTACCCATATAATTCATTTTCCTATAAAATTAATATATAGTCAGCCAAAATTTGAGTTTGATGATGACTGACGGCACATCAAATCGTTGTAGTTGGAATATGGTTTGTGCCTTTAGAATTTCCCTAAGAACAAATAGTGTTATCATTTATGGGGAGATGATGGGTGATTTTTACAACCTTTGAATTCAAATTTCAACAAAAAAAATCAGCAATATACAATTGTTACTTCATAAGGTATAACTTAGCATTGCACTTAGAAGATTTACGTATCAGATATAAAACTATTTTCTTATTTTGAATGTTTTATATAGTTTGTAAAAAGATGTATCGATCTCTCATCGATCAATTATAGTGAAAATGGATTTCCAAGATGTAAGGTAACAAAGCTTTATGAGTTTATGTACACCCTTAAATTAAGGTTTTTTGATTCACTGAAATATAAAGGCTGACAAAATGGAAATGATTTCAAAATGTACAAGTTAAAAGCTTTCAAGCTATGTGATCTTTATTGATAATATAAGGAATATATACATGAAATTACAAGAGAATGATCCTACAATTACGGAGATGATATACACGGATAAAATATAATAGGATAAACACGTAAAAGAGAAAGATATGGTTACCACTATTCCCCTTGAGCATGAAAGTTAAGAATGTCCAACTTACCCGCTGAAAATGAAAGTGCTTTGTATGAGGTGCACTTGTAAAGATATTGGCTATTGGTTTGTCGTGATAATTGTCAAAGTATTAATTTCATTATATTAAATTCATTTTCACACGAAATGACAGTCCATTTGTAACGACCCAATTTTCAAAAGAAAATTTACATTTTTGATTAACCAAAATATTGTCCACAAACCATGAAATCCCAAATACAATTGTTTTCAAAATTCATATTAAGCACAATTTTATTTCAAATTATCAGAGTGTCCCATAAGAAAATTCCTGAGAGAGTGCATGCCACGCCATCAAGCTTTTCCATTGCCCTTGGACTTAGATGTACCTGAAAGTAATCCACACACTGTAAGCTAATGATTAGTGAGTTCCCTAGAGCATACCGCACACATAATCCACATAAACACATATCATGTCAGCTATAAAAGCTACATATACCACATAAGCCATGCATACAAACATATAAGGAAGCCTTGGAAACCCTTCATGGTCTTACTCCGAGTGCCATGGGAACCCTCACATGGTCTTAGCCTAATGCCTCAGGAACCCCCCAAGGTCTTGACCTACAATGCCAGGGAAACCGTCCAAAATCTTACACCTAAGTGCCTTGGGAACCCCCCGAGGTCTTTACCTAGGATGTCTTGGAAACCCTCCCAGGTCTTATACCTAAGTGCCTCGGGAACCCCCTGAGATCTTCCATACAAGTATGATAGATACAACTAGCATATCGCATATCACATAATCCACTATCACATATGTAACAATAATAGGTCAGCCTTGGTGCCTTCGACCCATTGGTATGATGAGGAGACTCGCCTCTCAAATGCTAAACTGATAAGATAAGGTCAGGTATTTCCCCATGCACCGCTCCTCATCAACTGCCTATAATAAACATGTGATTCACTTGTTATAATCCCAATAAATATCCTCAAAGTCA